CAAATTCAGGACCGGGGACATAGGCCTTCGAGAACGTCGACGAAGACATAGGACGGTAGACGAGGAAGACGACGAGTTCAAATGTGATTGCGGCTTCGAATGCGAAGATCGTGTTTATGTAGTCGCGGAATTTCCGCTGTACAAGAAGGAGAGGGACTTGTACGTGACTGAGCTGGGAAAAATAGATGGGACGTACCGGGAAATGTTTGAGGCATGGAATAGAGAGGCAAGGACGGTAGCTGTACTGGGGCATAGGAGGTGGGTTGAAAAGGCGGGAAGGAATATCGTTAGGTTAGACAGATTAGGGAACACATTTTTGAGCCCCCTTTGGCAAAGTAGAAAGGAACCATTGGCCATCGGTGATCGGTCCTGTGGGAACAATGCTCCGTCCTCTCGAGGACGCGTGGTCAATGGTCTAACCGCTAAGGCATGCAAAACATCAGAGTACGCCCCCCCCCCACCGACACGCCAGCTGGGCAGCAACATTCTCGATAATTCGCCGTGCGGTGATTTTTTCCGTTGACCGCGTTCCAGAGACCACAAAAGACTGCTATATGAAGGGTTGCAAACTTTCTTTTTTGGTTCGTTGAGGGTTGCTGGGCTCTTCGATTCAAAAACAAGTCGGCTGTGGGAGCTGTTTACACCTGGGAAACGTCGCAGCTGGCAGCTGGCAGCTGGCAGCCAGCTGTAGGCTGGTCCTGCTCCGTGTTTGTTCTCATCTTGATTGCACTGTGCTCTCATGAGCCCACTCCTGAGGTTCCCTTGAAAACGCATTTTTTTCCCTTTCCAGAACATGAACAAAAATAGAAACCTTCACCGTCTGTATTAAAGGTGGCCAAGGTCAGGCAGGCCCTCCGCCCGCAGAGTCGACCGGCCAAACGGTATACTTCCATGTATACAAGGTATCCCTCTGGAGTGGGCTCACGAGAGCACAGCAGTGTTATGAAGGGGGTGATGCAAGATGTAATGAAACCATTAGCAGAACCAGCCCACGGCAGCTGGCTGCCAACGCTACCTGTGTTGACGTTTCCCAAGCTCGATAGTCCACAAGCTGGCACCAAACATTCGAAATCCATGTCCAGTCTTAAGCTGACCATTGTTGTCATCCTGTTTATTGTGGACGTCGGTCCGAATATACCTTGCGGTACACCATTCTGGATGCGTCACGATGAAAAAAAACGATACATACCTTCTGGACGATGCGGTCCAGCAGCTCTCCGCCCTTCATGAGCTCGAGAGCGAAGTAGAAACACTTGGGGTCATCCTCGTAGAAGCCGTAGATGCTTACAACGTTTCGGTGGTTTAACGCCCGCATGATCGTCGCCTTCGTGACAAGGGGATGGGAATGGGGGAGGGGGAGGAGAGGGGGGCGTTGTTATGATTGCCGCCCGCCATCGAAAAAGGACATGAACGGACGCAATCATCAAGTCGAAGCCAAACCTGGAGAGGGGTGTACTCATAGTCGTGCATACCGTGGTCGTTAGACCATTGACCTCGCATCCCTACAAAGCCGGGACGGAGCACGCCGGGTTCTCACCAGACCAGGCCCTCACATCACCAAGCGCGAAGCGCCGTGAGATATTCGGCGAGTCGCATGAAGGGTACGCTGCATCCTGCTAAGGGTGTTCGGCATCTTGTGCTTACTTCCTTGCGTACGGATGAATGACAGCTGCGTATGACTGAATTTATTTTCTGGTGCTTTCACTTCCAGAGACAGTTGCGAGCACTGTGACAATGCCTCGAGGGTGCTTGACCATTTTAACACAACGTGGTGCGATCATCCCCCTTGCGCGGAGTGAGGGTTCACCCCGCACAACATGATCTACTCAACCATCATTATGGTTACCGCCCAAAAAAAATAAACGGAGGAAAAAAAAAAAAACGGTAACCTGGTTGCCGAGTTCACGAAGTGAATTGGCTTGTTTTACAACGTCGTTGCCAAGCGACGAAAACCCAATCCCGATAGGCAAACACCGGGGGGGGGGGGGTGTACTCATAGTCGTGCATGCCGTAGTCGTTAGACCATTGACCTCGCATCCCTACAAAGCCGGGACGGAGCACGCCGGGTTCTCACCGGACCAGGCTCTCACATCACCAAGCGTGAAGCGCCGTGGGATATGCGGCGAGTCGCATGAAGGGTGCGCTGCATCCTGCTAAGGGTGTTCGGCATCTTGTGCTTACTTCCTTGC